ACCTTTCAATTCAAGTATTCTTAAAATTTATTTATATTTTTACAGCTAAAGAGAAGGAGAATGCCTTTCTTAAGGAAACTCTTATTGGGAGAGACAAAGAAATTGTTGATCTGAGAGAAAAACTGTCCCAGCTACAACAAAACGGGCCAAGAAATCAGTTGGATTTTGCCAAGCAAATGGCAATAATGGATGAAAAGCTACAGGAGACAAGAAAGAACATCGAAGAACTCGAGAATGGCCTAAATTACAGTTTACTGAAGAAGGAAACAAAATCCAAGAGCGAGCCACAAACATTTAATGGTGGGTAGGGAAAGCAGAATGGCACAACTTGAAAATACTATTTTTTCTTCTTTAAGACGAGAAGCGGAGCTTTACCCTGACAAATTGTGTATGATCTCTTTATAATGTGTTCTTCCATGCACTTAAAAGATCATTTCTTTTATTTTTAGGCAAAGCTTACTTCGACATTCAACCATCATGGTTTGACACTCTATCAAACAACGCTAGATGTCTTAAAATTGAAAACTTTCCAATAACAGCAAAAGATCTTGAAGTTATGAAGAATACTACATCACATTCAAAACCCTTCACTGAGCCAGCTAAAGGTATGAAGAAAGAAACTTGTGCGATGGGTGACAAAACAGTTAGACAGTTACTATTGATAACGTGTTCTTTCGTGTACTTTGATTTTCATTTACCTTTTTTCATTACAATTAGGCAAAGATAACTTTAACCTCAAACTGTCATGGTTTGACATTCCATCAAACAATGCTGGATGTCTCGAAGTTAAAAACTTTCCAGTAACAGCAAAAGATCTCAAAGCTAGGCAGAATGAGAAAAACACTCCATCGGTTCAACTGCAAGGTGTTCCATCGAACAATACCACGGATTCCTCTGGTAACAAAGTGAACCCCTTTTCCAAAAGAGCTAATTGCATTACAAAACCAACACGCATCCTTGCTGCCAACTTTGTTCAAGGTATGGTCAGTCGAACGTCACGTGACAAACGTAGAGGTTGCTTTAATTGACAGGAGCGAACTTCGTTATCGAGTGCTCAATGTCACGGTTTGTGTTTGTGTTGTGCACGGTTTAGGCAAATCTCGCCGAAACTATTTAAGGTTTGGTTCTGTAAGCTTAAGATTCAATCTGCCAATGTTTAAATGAAATTCTCAACTTCGCAAACTGAATTAAAATTTCTAGCTATTGTAGCTCCATAAGAACGAACAAAACTGACGTCATGGTAGATGAATGTCACCCACCCCCCCTCCCTTGTTTAGTGAATGGTATTTACTTAGACACCAGCCATTCTTTAATTTCATCCGTGATGAGATGAAGTTTTTTGCAAACTCCGCCTTCTTGAATTGTACAGGGAGTCCATATTCTTACCAAAGCCCATTACCTCCTATTTTGGCGAGCACTGTTCCCAGTGGATCTCAAGTAGGTTTCGCTCACCAGCAGATCAATCAACACTCCTTTCCTAAAACTGGTAAGTTGCTAACAATCAAATTATACAAAGTGTAAAATGTCTGTTATAAGCTCCCTGTGTTCAAATATCGCCAAACGGCCGGACTTGGATGGTAATATAAACGGAGGAGCTCACGCTGGGGGAATTCATATTCAGGGGGGTATTTATACCCTAGGCGCAGGTCATATATATGGAATTGAGAAATAGCTTGGCAAGTCGCTCAGAAATAGCCTAATTTGGGATATTAAATTTCATGGAACTTTTCGTTTTTTCTACAGAACAAGGATTCTTGAGCAGAACTTTTAACAAATGGTTCGGATCATACCATTGAAGTAAGTGTAGTGTTATTCAGTAAATTAAATGCAATAAATCCGTCAATAATTCAGCATTGTGCTGATTGAAATATTACCTTTGCTTTCGTTTGACTTAAAAATTGAGGCATTGACTCTGATTATCTTTTCATTGTACAGATCATCATCAGTACCGACGACCCAAGCTTAACTCTTTCTCATTATTACACATTTCAAAGCCGAGCGTTGTTTGTCATTTTCAATTTGTTATATTGTATCGTCTAAGGAAAACTTTTGTAAGAAAATTTATCAAAAAACAATGTCTAAATGAACGCTGTTTTCAATTTTCAGAACTTCGTTCTCAAATGATTTTGTAAATATGTCCTTAGCATTGTCGTATGATAATTTAATAAATGTTGACCAAATTTGTCAAAATTGTCTATTTTTGTTACTTAAATAAACATGAAATAGGAAATGAGGTATACTTTAGCAGACACAATCATTTTGAGAAAGTATGCTGAATATGTTTGCTGTTGATATTTATCATTATTTATTTATGATTAATTTAATAAAAACCTCTGCAAGGTTAACTGAATAAAATGCATTCTTTTATTAACCTTTCCCGAAAGTTTGTAGATAATTCAGTGCATGCAGATATGACAGTCCTAGTGATAAAGGTGAAAACTAAAAAAATTAAATGGAGTTGGTGTGAACTGGGTGTAATTGCCGCTGACCGGACTTGTTTACCTTCAGTCAACTCGTTTTCTAATTCTAAACCCAGAGTAAACACAACGGCCAATCACTACAAAGGGTAACATCATCGTCAACCACTAACGGCAAAGACATGCAAACTACCTAAAGCGCGGGAAAACGCACGTGACAAAGTCGCGATTTGTTTTAATTTTGTATCTCATTGGACCAGAGGGTTGCGTGAGTTTTATGGACCAATCAAAGACTGTCCACAAGCAAAACTAATGCATTACTGGATTACTTTAGACCCTCTATTGAGACCCGCGTTATTAATTTCTAACTATTACGCTGTATAACTAGGGCTTTGCTTTCCTTCTAAAACAAAGGCTCTCTTCACCTTAAAGAATACATTATGAACCGAAACGCAGTGAGACTTGAGAACTCTCTAAGCTTTGGGACATTGTCTTGATACATCACCAAATTCTCTAGAACCATCAGTTGAGACATCTTGCATATATCTGAAGTAACAGTTAAATAATAAGAATAATTTTGTATGTTTACAGAAACAGAAGTTTCCGTGACCCGCGTAAAAAAACTTTAACAAGGAGAAATAAACAAAATTAAAGAAAACCGCGTAGATATAAAACATCCAAGGAAGAGAACCTAAATGGGGTTCCTTACAATTTAGCAAAGTTACTTACAAGAAACAAATTAGTGCAATTTATCACGCTACTGCTGTTACTTTTCTTTTGCAGCTGCTGAAATCACCGCGACGTTTCTTTTGCGGCTGCTGAAATCACCGCGACTTTTCTTTCGCATCTTCTCCGTTTTCCTCTTCTTTTTTTTCTTTATTTCCATCTTCCTCTTGATCTCTCTTATTTTCATCATTTTCTTTGATCCCTTCCTTTATCTCTTGCGGTTTTTCGCTCTCTTCTGCATCTCTTTTTTCCTTTCTGCCGTCTTTGTTTTTCTCGTCACCTTTGTCACTAACTTTCCTGTGATAGAAAAGGAGATGCATTCCTATTGAATGTCACAAAAGCAAAAACCAAACCACAACCGCCAATCAGAACAAAGGTACATTTAAAAAGAGCTAAGAAACTTAACGTTAACACGATAATGCTGCCTGAGGCGCGGGAGAATGCTAAGGGTGGCACGAGTTCGCTGCACCAATCAGACTGCGAATCTAAAACCAGTGAAATACAGCTTTAATCTTAACACGCCAATTAAAACGAATTTTAAATAGTAAAACAATCTAATTATAAGTAACCTTTAAACTGTCACTACAAAAAGAAATATTATCAAATCATCACGTGGAGCATGGTTTAAAATTTTTTAAACGCCCTTAAAAAGATAAGTTTGAGCTCGGTCATGTTTCCTTAATGTATGACCTTGTGTGTTATTCTCTTTACCCACAAGACCCTTTCAACACTGCTCATTCTGCAGGACGCCTGTTATATGAACTTTGTAATGGCCTTGCTCCCCATAAAGTTCTCAGAAGCTCAGAGGTAGAGCATTGCATCAAGGAATCCAAAGATCTAATCGTAACCCAAATCTTTTCTTTACTTCACGCTCATAACAAAACGTCTTACACTTTTTAAAAGGTATGAGACCAAGTTGCTAATTTACCCTTGATTCTCTGCGGCCTTTGTGGGACACGGTTCAACATTACACTGCTCAGACTCCATCGCCGGACCCAGTCTCTCACAGCTCTGACCTCCGTTATCTGGCGCAGGGTTGGTACATTCACGTGTCCTTTGGCGAACACCTCCTCCGCATGTTACCGTACATTTACCAAATTCGGTCCATTCTGAATAATTGCCATCCACTGGAAAAAAATAGAGCTTGCTTAAACACCAACACCTATTCAGTACTAGGTCATTTCCTCATAGAAAAGTGTGTGTGTGTGCGGGGGGGAGGGGTTTGGTGGGAAAATAACCAAACCCTTGAAAGAGACAAATTTGGGCGTGTTAGAAACATTTGAATTTAGAAGTAACATTATAAAACAAGCAGACACACTAGTAGTGAGAAAAGAATTCAAAGTCAGGGATTTTCAGTCTAATAGACTAGTGGACATGGTATAAAAAATGGTTTGTCCATTGAACTCTGGACTGGAAGTTATTTGTTGAAACCCTCTCCAGGCCTCTCCTTGAGCTACACACTCTACTCTCTCACAGCCTCTCTCCACTGAGAAGTGCAAATAAGAACCAGTGGTCTGTTAGAGAACCTTAGGGAAAAGCTGGGTAAGGAAGTGACCTACAGAGAGGTAACATCCAATTCATGGGCATTGCCAATACTAGTAGTACCCTCCTGCTACACAAACCCAAATAAACTCTTGCAGTGCAGGCCTTATGACTTGTGAACAGACTTTATTCTCTTTAGCTTCAAGAGTAGTAGATCAATGCAGTAGGTTGATGTTTAGTGGTTGGTTGAAAGCGTTTCTGCATGCCAGTCTTAAATTTGTCCTGAGTTCAATTTTTTGGTTTTGGTTAAATGCACAAGTGTGACATGATCTAAGATAGCAACAGAAAAACTGAGAAAAAGAAACTGTTAACTAAGGGATAACAATGTACCTGGCAAACATAAAGGACCATCTGAAACATCATCAATGCCACTCACACTCACCTGGACAAGATTGTTCATTACATGCCTCTGTTTCCACATTTGGCCCCAGATCTTGCTCCTCACATGTTTTCCCACCAAACTGTGGTTCAGGACTGTTACACTGACGATTCCTCTCCCGCATGCCACCCCCACAAGTCACTGAGCATTCACCAAAGTCACTCCATTTCCCATAATCTCCATTTACTACAAAGATACATTAATTCTATTAATTTATTACTTTCCTTTTACACTTCTATATGGAAATAGACACCATGAAAATTATAAAGTAGATAAAGAGGGTAAGTTTTCAGAGAGACTTTGGTGCTGCGTCAGTGGGGGAGTATAACAAGATAATTTAGTTTTATCAAACAAGTTGACAATGCAAATTGGCCACTGCAAAGAAATTGCAAGCTGATGTTTCAAGTATTTACCCTTTGTCAGAGCAAAATACTTAATTTGATTTGTCTGAGGACACATGTGGAGTGAACTCAGCCAGGAATTGAACCTCACACTCAGCTTGAACTCAGCTTGGATTCTACCAAACATAGGTTACCTTGTCTCACAAAATTCATCACGAAACCTATGCTTTCAGAGTTGAGTCATTCAAAACTGTCTTTACGCATCAGTCATGTTCACTTTTATGAGGCAAATAGACAAAGCAAAGAACAAAGCCTGAATGCCTAAGTCAAATGTCAGATCATCATGATTGTACTCGAATCTCACCTGGACATGTCCCCTTGTTACACACCCTTGACTCAACATCTGATCCAAGTTCCAATTTTTCACAACTTAACCCACCAAATTTGGGTTCTGGGTTATCACACTGGCGTCTCCGTTGCTGAACACCTTCCCCACACGTCACTGAACATTCACCAAAATCTGACCAGGGGCCATAGGCACCATCAACTGTACAATGTACACATAATTTACTTATAATAAATTAAATTTTGGTGGGGTCAAAAACCAAATCAGGCTGGTGACTAGGTTTCAGTTTGATGGATTAGGCCTCAAAAATAAAAACCTTTTTGCAAAAGGAACAAACCCAGTTAAACCCTAAAGTAAAGTACAGAGGAGAACTGTAGAATCCAGGGAAAATATAAGGGCTCAAAGACAAGTAACATGCAATACCAAGAAATATTCATTTGCCCCTAAGAGACCACATATTTAATGGACCACATTACTGCAGAGATTTCAAACAAAGGCTGGAAACCTCTTGTTTTCAGAGATCTTTTTCTGGCCTCCCATTTTCATTCAGTTTTCTTCTCCTTTGTAAGTTTTCTCAAATAAAGATAATACTTTCCTTGACCTTGCAAGAGATTTGCATTTATGTGTGGTGTTGTGTGGTTTTGGATGTCATTCTGGTCATCCCCTAATCAAAAATTTCAACATCTGAAAGTGTTCTTTAATATTGCATTTCCCTTGAAAGCAGATATTATCATCAAAAATGTCAAAGGAACCAGTGAGCCTAGGCTTTCACTGTGTGATTTAAAATCTATCAGGTCATTCAAGATAAAATTTCCTCTGACTTTGATTTCAAAATGAAGGAAATTTTGATTTCAAAATGAAGGAAATGGCATCTTGGAAGCCAATGTTTTCAAAATATTTTCAGATGAAGCATGCCCCAAGACCAGTGTTGAGGCTAATGCTTTTGTTGTTCTTGGTCTCATCTTTACCGATCCCGAAACCTCTCTCTTTTATTTCAAAAGGGTTGGAATCTCTCTTAGTAGCAGGTGAATGCTGTCACCATTGCATCATCCATACTCCCATAAAATAATTGGATTCTTCATAATCCACCTGTCTAAATATCAGGTTTGTTTTCTCAGACAATCTAACAACACAATAAAGCAGCCTAAAACTTTATCATACCTGGACAAGGGTTCATGTTACACATGAAAGTTTGCTTGTCTTCTCCAAGAACAGAGCAGTTTTTACCCCCAAACTGTGGTTCAGGATTGTTGCATGACCGTGTTCTGAAACGCACCCCTGTTCCACAGGACTTAGTGCACCTAGAGAATACTGTCCAATGTGAGTACCCTCCATCCTCTGCAAAAAGTTTAAAAGAGAAATTGTTTTTTATAATATCAAAAGCTAGTATAATTGTAATACATCCTCTACTAACTCAACAACACTGATGCTTGAATTGTTTTACCATAATAACTTGTATAATGCTATACAGCAAGAATGCTTTTTTGATTGAGTGTTGCAAAAACAAGACCAAATTTATTACAATGACCAACATAGGAAAGGAAAATGCTCTTAAGAACCAATGAGAACTCCAAGTAAAACCAAGCAAACTGCTCACGAACACAAAAGATGTCACATATTTTGACATAAAATTTTTTTAAAGATATGAAGTTTTAGCTAATTAAATTAAATATACCTGTCAACCCTTTAACTCCCATGAAGGACCAAGAAAGAATTTCTCTTTACAAATGAATATAGATAACATATCAAGAAAACAGGAAATGGGAATAAAGGGAAATATCAATAGAAGATTACTAGTTGACTCGATTTTAAATTATTTGAAGTAGCATCACAAGAGTTATAAAGCAGACAGTAATGAGAATTACTAAATAACTGTTATTTTGAGAATGAGAGGATTAAATTTTAGTTGAAACTGGCTGTTATCTCAATATGAGTAATCAAAGAACTGTGTAACCCACCTAGCGGGACTAAAGCAATGTTTAGGACAAAGGTAGGCATCCTTATCACAAAATTACTAATTAACTAATACTTTCACAAATACACAACTCTTACATGATATGTATAAATTAAAAATCAAATAATTCTCCAAACCCAAAAAGGTGGAGATTGTGATGTAAAACTTGAATCTTAACAGTGGAAAGTTTATATTGGCAAGGATATTAACAGATTCTAAGTGAAAGAAAGTAAAACTTTAAAGTAAGTGAGTAAAGCATCAGAGTGCTAATCACCAAGAATCTTATTAAGGCACCCTTGAACAAAAGGCAAAGGATGCACCTCCACCCAGAGGGCTGCCTGGCAAACTTCTTGGCTGGCAGACCAAGAGCATTGAGGATGTCACGGAAGTGCAGCATAAAGTTAGAAGAAGTGAAGACCTTATAGCTAAGGGAAATAGGTTCCTACCATATGAAAGCCTGGGAAGGCCAAAAGGGACTTAAGGAAGGACAAGGCCCACTGGGCGGCTGAGACTGGACAGAGGCGGGAACTGGTTTAAGGTATAAGGGGAGTTGTACCACTCATTTTTAGAACTGAATGATTTTGCTCCCTCTGATAGTCAGAAGAGCCCCTGCTGAAATCTGTAAATCTGAGCGGGAATTTGCCATGAGGGGTCACCAGAGTGGGCAGCACTTGCTACTAAATGGCTTTTCCAAAACATCCCAAAAAAGGAGACTAAACAGATTACCTAGAAACAAGCATCAAAGATCAAAGCCAGAGTGCAAATTATGCTTGGCATAAAAATGGCTTTTGAGAATGCAAATGAGGTATATGTATTATGCACCAACAAGCTAAGAAATAGAGCAATTGATCTCAACAATAATTCACCAAAGTAGAAGTAAATATCCACCACTTTCACCATCACTTAGGTGAATAATTGCCTTAGTAAGTTGTAGATACCACTCAGAAACCAAAAAAAATTCATTTCTGTCAATATACCATAAAATGGTTGGAAATTAAATTTTTGATCTGCAATTATTTCTCTTCGGCTGCTCAGCGTTGAATTGAGAAAGCCACTATTCATCTGTGTGGTGTGTACTAATCAACAGTTACTCTGCCTTTTGGGAAAAAAATTGTCCTCGGCATTAAGTACTGATGTATACGAAAAGTAGTCGTTATTGCTCAGTATTCTTAATAGATGCCATATATCATATCATTCCTTCTAATCTAAAATTAAGTGTAAGGGTATTGGTCCTTTCGATAGTGTATTGCAAGCAATAATTGAATAATATGAACCAGAGTAAATGAAAAATTTAGAGCAGCAACTTTAAAGAATGTGAGCGTGGTAATAGCAATGTGAAAAGTGTGTTGTTTCAGATACTAGAGTCTAAGAGCTATGGTTGACAGATCTCATGAGAGTATAACAGCAAGAGTGGTAAAAAAAAGGAAAAAAAAAAGATAAAATAATGTTAAATTAAATTTTAAAGCCAACTCTATTACCCAACAGGGAAGTCTTTAACGACGTCAACAATTTGACGACGTCTTAAAAATACTAACACAGCAAAGAATTATCCCTACCTCTTAAAATATAACGCACAAAGTTGTGAGAAACATAAAATATGGCTGACACTAGAGCCACAATTGTCAAAGCTTGCAAGACACGTACATTGCGAGTCATCGTGCGGTCGTATTTTTCCGGGTATTAACTTATGTTTAACATATATGCCGCTAAACGTATGATTTGTGCTTTTGTTCGAGAGCAAGCGGTTACATTGTCACTGAATCTATTATTGCTTACCTCATCTGCAACGTGGTCAAAACTTCTTATGATTAACGTGACTTCGTTTACGTTCCCCAAACAACCAAGGCATCGAGAGAAAAATTCCGCGCAGAGGGTCTCCAAGATAGATTGTCAGTGTATTCTTACACTTACAGCCAACTTGTTTATACGTATTGCCACTGACAAACTGCTGGCTCAGAATTAGAGGGTCACAACAAAACTGGTCACGCCATCACGCTATCACGCTATCATATGATGGGAATATTAATTGTTAGACGGCATATTCTTTGTTTTTGTGTAGGGTGTGTGCGAAGCCGTAAACGCTTCTCCGAAAGCCGTCCATATTTCTTCCAGAAGGATGTCAATGAAAGCTCTGTATGTTGAAGAGTTCGGCGACTCGTCGAAGCTAAAGTATGGTGAGGTTCCCAAGCCAGAACCCGCAGAAGAAGAGGTAAAGAAGCTCAAATCCATTTCTCCCCACCCTTGAACTTTTTCAGCGTTTGCACCTACTTTCATGTGTGGTACTGATGGATAATTTCGGGGTCTTCAATTTTTAATGACCATGTAATTAGAGCTAACATAATTTTGTTGGAAGGGATCAGCTTTCACGACAAACCTGATCTATTGAGGATTCTCAAAAAGCAAAACATGCTAAGCTAAGTAGAGGGAGCCCATTAATTAGCAAGATAATGATGATGACAGTGCAAGTTTATTGTTTATCTACCCTTCGCTATTTGGATGAGTTATCGCATATCTGATTATGTCAAAGTCTGCAGTTACAAACCACCCCGTTCACATGCTATAATCTCACAAGATGCTTTGATAAAAATGGATGAGAGAATTTTTTATATAACCAAAAACTTTCAATGAAGTGCGGGATTGCATAAATTTCATTTAGTTTGTAACAGCTAGAGAACGAGGCTTTACAAAAATATTTGCATTGTTATTACTGATATGTAAATTAGCATTTAAAGTGTTTTCGGCATTCCTGTATCTTAGTGCAGTTAATCAATCTCCCAGTTGCTCAGCCATACAAATTAATTAAGGGGGTAAGTTTTTAAAGAACCTGTAGTGCTGCGTCGGTGGGAGAGTATAGCACGGTAATTTAGTGTTATCAACTGAGTTGATAACGTAGATTGGCCACCGTAAAGAGTTTTACAGCTGACACTGTTTCGAGCCTTAGCCCTTGGTTTTGCTCTGACGAATGGCTAACGCTCGAAACGTCAGCTTTGAAACTCTTTGCGGTGGCCAATTTACGTTATCAACTCAGTTGATTATACTAAATTACCCTGTCTCAGCCATACAATTTGATAAAATTTAAGTCTTATGTTTTAATCATTTTTTTTAAAGTTTATTTAAGTCTTACATCTTAATTCATGTAATTTTCTTATGATTGGTTTTATGTTTAGGGACAATTCAAGTGCTTGTGAAAATTTTTTCTCTTTTTCGGCTTGTGTGCCCTCACTTTAACCAATTCTTTTACATGTTTGTGGGAAAGACCGCAACGAAGTGGTCTAATTTAACAACATTAGGATGTCTTACATCCTCCCTCTACGTTTCTGCTTCCCAGAAGTTGTAGTATTTGCATGAAGTTTTATCAGGTATGAAATAAATCATAGTATGTAGCTTGAGATTTAAAATTGGTTGTGTTATTTTCATACTAGGTTTTGGTAAAAAATGAGATTTGTGGCTTGAACTACCTGGAAGTCATGATGAGGGATGGGTATATACCTCTCGAAGCTTTAGGATCTGGTTTTCCTTTGACAATGGGAGTGGAGGCTGCTGGAACAGTCGAAAAAATCGGTGCAAATGTCATTGGTGTAACCAAAGGAGAGAGAGTGGCTTATGCAGTTGTTGGATCTGGTAAATAAGTGATTTACACATGGATGCTTTAGAATGCTCTTGAGTAACCGCCTCGTATATCTGATCACCTCTCATAAGTAACCATTTTCTAGAATACCAAAATTGTGTATGTGAGTGCAGAGACGATGGGTCGACCTAGATTTTTAGGTTTGTGGATTTTAGGTAAAAAGTAAATATACGAAGTGTACTGTATTCACACGAAACCTGAACTCTACGGTCGCTACATTGACGACTGTATCAGCGCTACCTCTACCAGACAGGAGCTCACTCAGTTTATAAGCGCCATCAATTCCTTTCACCCGGCTCTGAAATATACATGGGAAATTTCCGACACTTCTTCGGCTTTTCTAGACATCAAAATATCAATTGAAGGCAACGTTCTATGCACTAGTGTTCACAACAAACCTACAGATTCACATAGTTACTTGTTGTATTCATCTTCACATCCACCACACGTCAAGAATTCCATACCTTTTTCACAGTTTCTCAGACTTCGTCGTTTATGAAGTGACGACTCTGATTTTTCCGAAAAAAATCACAGGCCTTGAGCCAGTTTTTCGATAAACGTGGCTGTCCTGTTTCTGTCATTTAAGTAGGCCACTACCGCGCTCAACAAATTGATCAACAGTCAGCACTACAAACGGCTGAGAAAGAAAATACTGATCACATTCCAATCACTATCACATTTCACCCTCACAATCACGCAGTTAAATCTATCATTCTTAAAATCTTTAAATTTCTTAAGGCAACTTTTTGGTCACTGAAATTCATTTCAAACCAATGACCAACCTGGAACTTTCAAATGCGCTCGCTCACGATGCAAAACTTGTCCTTTCATTCATAACGTAGAGAAAATCTTGGGACCTAAGAGATCCATGAAGATCACTGATCGCTTCACGTGTTCCTCAGCCAAAGTCATCTACTTCATAACTTACGCTTATTACGAAAAGTTATACATTGGTGACACAGGAAGACGACTGGGTGACCGATTCTGAGAACACCTTCGCGACGTAGGAAGAAATGAAAAAGACGCATCCAAACCAGTCACGAGACACTTTAATCTCCCTAATCATTCTAAGCCGCATATAGCAGTTTGCGGCCTTTCCCTTCATCTAGGCAGTTCAGAAAACCGCAAAACTCTAAAACAAAAGTTTATCTTTCCAATCTGCACTCTTAATCTCCACGGTATCAACGAGCGCTTTCCATTCAACCAATTTATTTTTGTTTTTTCGTCGCCATATTCCCACTAATAGCGTAGCTCCATTTCCTGCATATAAACCCACACACAACCCAAAATTCCTCCGATCACTCTGATGAGGGGCTAACGCTCGAAACGTCTGCTTTTAAACTCTTTATGGTGACCAATTTACTTTATCAACTCAGTTGATAATACTAAATTACCAAGCTTAAACTAGTTAGGTTAACTGTTTTAACTTAGAAGTGTTCCTATGGTACCTACAATAGTTTCTCGGTCATTTTAATCATCAGGAGCACATGCTGAATATGCAAAAGTGTCAGCATCAAGACTGGTAAAAGTTCCAGATGAGATTAGTTTTGAGCAAGCTGCTACATCAATGATTCAGGGGTTGACTGCGCATTACCTGGTGCATACAACTGGCAGAGTGAAGCCTGGTGACAAGGTGCTGATTCATGCGATCTCTGGAGGGACTGGGTCTCTTGTGTGTCAAGTGGCAAAGAACAGAGGTAAAAAACAGCATCAGGTTTGCAAATTGGAGATTTTTGGTGGAACCTCTTTTATGGGGTTACTCTCTTGTAAAAATAGCAAGACAGTATCACTCCCAAGTACTCTTCAAGTGACGCTCTCTGAAGGTAGTTCGTAGGGAAACATGACGTTGAATAGTAAGTTTTTAGTAAGAAAAATCAAAGCATTATGCATGATAAATGAAATAGGCTCCTCTAAATTTAGGTTGGACTGCTGTTTGTCTATCTAAGTTATTTAGTCAATTGTTCATTCATTTTGAATAAGATTTAAAAAGTGAAATTAATTTGAGGCCAAACAAAGTTCGTTAATTATTTTTTAATTTCAAATTTTTTCAGGAGCGTTTGTGATTGGGACAACCAGCACTGAGGCTAAAGCAGCAAAAGCAAGGGAGGCCGGTGCTGATGAGGTTATTCTTTACTCACAGAAAGATTTTGCAGAGGAAGTCAACAGGATAACTGATGGAAAAGGGGTTAATGTTATTTACGATGGTATTGGAAAAAAAACTTTTGAGAAAGGTATGATGTGGATCACATATCAAAAAGGATATTTGATTGATCTTTTTGGCTCAAGTAAAGGCGCAATTCTCTGACTTATCTCAAATCAAAATTAGAGCAGTGGAGTTGTCTACCATATATTGTATGATGAGGTGAATTAAGAACGAAACACGGCTCTAACTTATGAGGTTTTGGAGGACAGACTCACAGAATAATGTCACCATTAACAAGATTGTGCTTGATATTTACATAAAATAAATATATTCCATGTTTCCGTGCCTCTATTCAGTTTTAGGTCACAGAAGATACCATGATGTGGGAAAAACATTAGTGGCAGTCTTGGCTTTGCCTCCTCTGCCGCAATTTTTTTTACTTCCTTCATTCTGAAGTCTCTGATTTATTACTGAGCAGACACACACACGGCAATTAACTTGGAATATATTTCCTAAAGAGGTTTTGTCCGATGTGATTCAGCAACAAATCACAAATTAATCAAAAATGACTCTTTTGGTATATAAATAGGAATCCTAACGCAAGGAATGAACTCTCAGCCAATTTCGATTTCCTAGCATTTGCACCTCGCCGTCTAATTCTCGCACATCTAGCATATTTGCATCACTTGAAAGCTTTTCAGTGCAGTTTTAAATAATATGTCGAGATAACAAAACCAGAGAAATCCCAATGGCCAATCAGAATTAAGTGTAACGTCATCATTAACCAATGAGAAGTCATAGTGTAAACAAGCGAAGTGCCAAAAGTGCTGGAAAACGCGGTTGAGCAAGTCGCGCTTGGTTTTAGTTTTGTATCCGATCGATCGAGTTGTAGACCCAAGTTTTTTGAACCAATCAGGGACGTTGTGAAGCAAAATAAATGCAGTCCTTGATTACTTTCATTACGCAATTGAGTCAATAGAAAACGGCTCTTATTTTTTTGTCACGCTTCTTTATCCCTTCTTTAAAAGCCTGCGATTAAGCGTTCTTTGACAGGATGAACCAAAGCTGGCGGGTGTTTCTCCAAAAATGCTTTTTCACTTATTTTTCAAACCACTCCAAAACAATTTGACATACTTAAGTCATTGTATCTAAGAAACATGAATCATTGGTTAACTTTCGGATCATTTAAGTCATGTGGCAAACCGTCTTTCATCAGTGATCTTCAGATTCATGAAAAAGTTAAAACTGCCATTTCGCGTTTCAAGCAGAGACAAAAAAAACACGTTCATAAATCACAAAAAAGCCCCTCTTAAATCGAAATAGGAATGTCACTTCATGGCTTTAATAGGTGCCACACATATCTCCAGCCTTCATGTCTTGTTTCTTTATAGACTTTGAATGTTTGGCTATCCAAGGAATCGTGGTATCTTTTGGACTAGTTTCTGGACCCCCGCCTCCAATTGATGTGGAGAAACTCGCCAAAGGTTCCTTCTCTATTTGCCGACCTATGTTGTTTCACTACATTGCAAACGAAGAAGATTTGAAGAAGCGCAGCTCTGAAGTCTTTGCCTGGATCAAGAAAGGCGAAGTAAAGTTTGGCGACTTTACTGTATTACCACTGTCCGAGGGAAAGAAAGCTTACGATTTGTTGGGAAGTGGAAAATCTACAGGAAAAATCTTGATGAAGCCTTGAACTGAAAATATTTAAGCACACTATCCAAAGAAATGTTCATTATTAGCACGCTGTCGGGCATTGTGGCGCATTTTGTATTTAATCCTGCTGAAATAAGCCAATGAAAATAAGAGTCAAACAATCGTTCGATAAGAGCAGCAAATTGAAATCGAGAAGCCATAGATATGTTCGCGCCCTATTCCCGCAGAGTTGGTGAAAGAATTGAAAGCGATCTTTTCAAAGCCCAAATGATATCTTAAATCGTAGAATTCAACGACGAATCAATCTTCTGAGCTAGGAGAAGAAGATTTGTAAAAGTGAGAAGCTGATTCCGTCCCCAAAAAAAACATACCTTTTAGGGTTCAGATTGCTGTGTGTATTTTTTTTTTTTCAGTTTTTATTTTCTCAATGCCCTTCAAAGTGACAATAATCGTAACAGAGTGTATTTTCTTAAGCGGCTCGGGCTAAAATGAGTCTGAATCGGGCCCAAAACATATTTACGCCCGCGAACATAACCTCTATCGTTTTAGTAGATTAAAGGCTGATACAAACTGCATCAAATGCTAACGTACTTTTAATCAATATATATTAATGCACGGGGTTTTGAGATGTCTCTAAGGACAAGAGGGATATTAAGAGTTTTTAAATTTATGCAAGAGCCACTGAAGGCAACTTTATCATTCTGGCGTTCAACCAGTGTTTGTTTTACTCTCTGCTGCATATCTTGTTACGCTCGTTGTATCTTGTACCAATAAACAAGACTCTGGCTCCTAATTACATAATATCTAATACTCATTTCGGTGTGAATATCTTTTAACCTAACATTTACTGCTGGAAGGATTTGCGCGAGTGTACAGCGCTTATAAAGGAGGGTTCTCCAGTTTACACTGAACAGCTTTTTCAGTGTTGAAAAAATGCAAATCAAAGGTCGATTACCTGATTTTTTTAAAATACTCTTCATTAAACACTCAAAAGGACTTCGTTAAGTTCGTACTGAACTGTTCACGCAAACCCAAAGTTTCCATTTGGAACTCAACCCTGCTCACATACGTTATATTGAAGTTGAAGGGTAGTGTCGTAAGAGACGGTGAACGCATCAGGCCATTCGCGAAAGTCTAACTAAAAATGTAAATTTAAACGTCTTCCCCCGGCGTTGCCGTCCTGACTGCTTATGGTCTCTAATGACATTAAGCAAGCGTCAAAACGTCGTTATTTTCGAAACAATTTATTGGAAAATATCTCAAACCTCGATGGTTTTAAGTTTACGTCCTTCAATTTTTCAGCAGTGTTTTATCGTCTAATAATATGCACGAGAAAATTACTCAGTTCTTATTGGTTAAGATAAATGCAGTTTTCAGGTAATTCAATGCAGAAGAGGGTTATTTCATGTATACTATTAATACATAATCACAAGATTTTTCTCGTTTAGTTTGGAATAAATCAGCACTTTTTAATTTTGTTAGACTTTGAAAAAATTTACTCGTGCTCATTTATTCCAAATTGCACTCGAAATCATGTGATTACCTATGCAAATTATACAGCAAATCTCTTCTTGACAATTTATATAGCGTGAAAATCCAAAAGTTGTAAGGTGCTTTACAGGATTAAAAGTAGGAATAAAACAAACAAGAATGCATCGACCGTATTTCCTCGAATAAGCGCCCTCCTTTGAAAAATGCTTCCCTCCCCTCTCAATCTCCTAAATAGTAGGGATAAAAGGAAGACCTGTTTCTATTGCACTTTATTTATATTTTTATCTCTTTAAGCTTCAACTACAGCGGGATCATTGCAGGAGGCTAATCAGCGCCCACTCCGCTCATTCCGCCCGCACCACCACCGGGAATATCCGATGACATAATGCAAGACTTGAAACTCATTGCAGACAGAAATGTTAAATCCAGTCCAACCACTGGCTTTTTGCTTCTCTTTCGCATGGAGTCGTACCAAGATACTGAATGAGTCAGAAAAAAAATGGTCGTAACAACCTAAACTTTGAATTCAGCGCGATCCTTTGTTTAATGTCAATCAAACACCTCTCCCTCCCCTCCAACACAATAAATCTCTTTTTGTACGAACGAACGTGTAATTTGTAGCAAAAGATAATACCGAGATTTTTTCTTGTATGCCCTTCAGTGCTCTGGAAGTTTGAAAGTGAAAGGTGAAGAAATAAGTGATGGCCTTTTACGCAGCTATTACGCTTTTTTCAGGTTCCCACGCGGGGTAAATCGATTGCAAGCTCGTTACTTTAATAAAGATGGACTTTGAGCAAGGAATTTCATTTTCTTAAAGAGAAGAGGGCGTGGAGGACATGAAAAAGGCACAACGGGAAACCGTAAAAGTGATTGGTTTAGATTCCAGAGACGGCCTTTCGCTTCTACTCCTGATGCAACAGCTGATCATCGTACAGGTGACTGCACTTGAGCCGGGATCGCTACAAAACAAAGAAAAACAGCAATGTTTTAGAAATATATATAATAACGGCGTAATTCCTTTCAGTATGTAGTATACATACCGTAAGATTTAGAGAAGCTAACTAACGGTGAAATTTCTTTCAGTATGTATAAAGTATAGACATACCTAGCCTAGCTTGAAAGCCATGAAAGCCTTTAATGCCTTGTATGCCAATGTCTTGGTTGAAAAACGTACACTTGTTGTAAAAAAGCAAAATCTGAAAACCGGAACCAAACTGCATATATATGGGGTGTAATAACCGTCAAAAATAAATGTTTAATTATGATATCCACAATTTCAGTTATGAAATATGAGAGATATGCAATTGTGCTATTTGGTCCTTGTGTTATGACATCATGCTATTACATTTGACTATTTTGCTTTTGTAATGTGCTGATTTATCACTGTACCTTGGCGTTCGGCTATTATATTTTACTATTTTGCCATTTCATTCTTGTATTCTTCAATTTCGACATTGGGTCACGCAGTTTTGCTGTTGTGATTTTGTTATTTTCATAGCGTGCGTTTCATTGTGGTGTTTTGACATGGTAACATGCAGTTCGTCATGACTCTCAGAAACGAGTTTTGGATAAGATAATTTATTTACCGCCAAAGTTATAATTATGTTAACATATTCCCTCCCTGTCGCCTTGTCTTTGTTGGAAACATGGCGGCTTTTCGTGAAAGAGCGATGAATTTATTAGAAGAGGCGACCCGTCTTATTAGGGAACACACATCTAAGGCCTACTTTATACGTCGCGCTACAGTCGAATTTAATTCAGACGAATTTAATTCAAGGTCC